TTTATTATTATTTAAAAATACTTTATATTTTTATATTTTTAATGTGTATTTTTATCTATATATATATATATATGTTGGATTTTTCATCTATATATATTGGTTCAAGTGAGAAATGAGAAATGAGAAATGAGAAATGAGAAATGTTGTCATGATGTTTTACTAGATTTGACGATGTTGCAATAAAACAATTCCATGTTGCATTAGACTGATTAGAGAGGTGCAACACAAGTTTTTTAAAAGTATTTACGAAAATGACATCACACATATATAGTTGTACTCAACATTTTTGAGTGAAACATGAAACTTGTTTGGTGCAGCATAGTCAAATTCGGTCAATGACTGAGAATCATTCTCATTTCTGACTTAAAAGCTTGACCTTAAATGTGTGTGTGTTTGCATTAACGCAAAGCATATGTAAGCTCAAAGTAATTCAACTAAGCCCTTCTATTTTCCTTGCATTTAGGATGTTTTTACTTGGATTATAATTTGCTAGTCTGGTCTGATCTGAACTGATCTGGTCTAGTTTCTTTGTATTTTTATAACTATCCAAGTCTGATTTGGTCTTGTCTGGTTTGATCTGGTCTAGTATAGGACAAATTAAAGTCCAAGTAAAAACATCAATTAATATCATATCCCCTAAAGTGATCTACATGATGGAAAAGCATTTGGAAGAAGAATTTCATTCAATAAGCTAAGCTAGAAACAAATCCGTGAAAAAATAAGGACCATTCAATTCTGTAACATGTTCAAAATGGGTGGCGATGCTATATTCCAATAAAGCATATATAGAAGCTTTTTGACACCTCTTTCAATTCAAGTGCTATTTCCAACCTCTAAAACTCTTACGCCTCTAGTGTAGATAAACCTAAATAAGTTGTATTCCATTGGGGGTGGTGGAAAGCGGTACTTTATTTGTTTGGCCTAAATTATCAAACTTGTATTCATCTGGTCTGGATTCTTCTACTACATTCTTTCTTAATTCATCCCTCATGATATGATTACTCTTACGTACTGTGCAAAAAACTTACCTCCAACTAGATATATTACTTCAGCTAGCTGTTAACATGGACTTCTTCAAAAATTCAAAACCCACATTCTTTCCAATTATCTAATTAAAAAACGAGACTTTTGTAATATGTAGGGTATATTCATCCTAGTTTCATGTTGTTTCTGTACATTAATCATTTCTTTCATTATGTTGTTGATATGGCGCTAGATGTTAACCCCATGATTTGTGACAATACATTCTGTCATTGTAAACGTAAACGGTGGGGTGTATTAGTGTATATAATACGATGGTATATTGTTACAGAGTCAACTGTAATATAATATATAATACTTCCTCCATCCCATAAAATAATTCCCGCATTGACTTGGATCGTAGCTTAAGAAAGTGGGAATAAAGTGAAAATGTATGGTTGTGTTTAAGTAAGAAAAAAGTAAATGAGTCATAGCCACACAAAACTTTTCAAAAAGGGAAATGAGAACTATTTTTTGGGACTACCGAAAAAGGAAACCGGGAACTATTTTACGAGAAGGAGGGAGTAATAATAATAATAAAACGAAGAATTGAAGCACCTATGGGGTTAATTTTGTGGCGCATTAATGATTTCAAAAATGATCAAGTTAAAAGTGTCTCTCATAATAGGGTTTTCTTCCATATGGCTTATTAACAATCTATGGTATTAATTGTTGGTTTTGGAGAGGTTAACCTTAATGAATTGGTTTTAGGAGAAACCATGCAATAAACATACAAGAATATTTGTCAAATAAGGTGAAATGGTTTTTTTTTATAGAGACTTTAAACCACAAGCAGAGATGTATACCAAATTAGTGCTTGAGTTAGCTAGGTTTGTGTAGAGAGTTTTATACAATACGTATAAGCAAAGAACAATGTGTAGAGAACGTAGTTTTATACACGGTTTTAAAGTATCAAGTTAAAAGAAGTAAAGAACAATGTGTATTAATTACACTGCAAATAAGTTCCTTAAGTTTGAAAAATATACAGAACTTGAGGAACTTGATAAAATTTCTGCTTAAAAGATTTTAGAACAACGAAGCACAAACGGAAACAAATAAATAAATACTCCGTAGTTTAAAAGGATTTAGATTGTGCCATCTCTTTTAGAGAAGAGTTTGGGAAGTACTCCGTATTAGATTGTGCAAACTTTAAGGAATGATAGAAAATTACTCTAATCGATTTAAAATTACCAGATTAAGAAAGTGCATGTGATTGATCTTACGTGATTTTCAATTGACTAATTTACTAGGTAAAATATTTACTTTTGCCTAAACTTCAATTTTTTTTCCGGCTTGATCTCGACGGGAGGATGCAACAATTGACTATAGCAAATAATTTTCTTAAAAGATAATTAACTTTAGAACTAGGTGTTGAAATATTATACTAGTATATGTGCGGAAAAAGAAACTGAATCATTGGCGACATATCAATTAGCTTAGCTACACATATATTGTTTAAATAGCAATCAAACACCTATCGCTCGATTAGCAATTAACAATCAAACACCTGTTAACAACAAATTGAGTAATAAAAGAATTCGCCGTATACAGACAACCATGATAGGGAAATAATTAGTACACTAATCAGGTTTAATTATTAGTACATATTCTGATCAATAGGGTTAGCTCTATAACTAAACAAAAAAAACTAAAACTCGCTATGTTATGACTAATAGTGCATCTCATACTTTGCAAGAACAAATTTAACTTTCGAATAAAAAGTGTTCAGTCTGTTTATATAATGTAGACATCTTTATAATTTTAGGTGTCTATAACACTAAACTACGTGATTTTCAAATAAATTTGTTGTTTGGGGTGGTAACTGGTATATATACATGATACATCGACTTAGTTTTATGGCGTTTATAGTAATAATAAGAACAATAATAGCAATACAAGTAATAATGATATAACTAACTATGGTGGTATAATTATCGAGGCCAAAACATGAAACTAGGCCAGAAGTTTTAGTAACTACAAGTCTACAATGGGAGATTTGCGATTTAGTCTTCTAACTTTTGGTTGTTATCATTATTGGTCCTATAACTTTATTTTCATGTAAATTTGATTTTTTAATTAATAAATTTTTGCAATTTAATGAATTTGTTATTGGAAAGTACATGCACTTTCAAGCAGTAAAATCCGACGCTGGCGGCATCTTTTCTAGTATATATACTTCTGCCGTAAAGTGTACTTTTCAGGGGATTCCTTAAATCACAAAAATTTATTAGTTGATCAAATTATAAGTGACTAAAGTTACGTGATTAATAATAAAAACGACCAAAAGTTACGGTAAGAAAAATTTTAAATCTCTGAGTGTACAATACAAGCAAATTCAGTGATATATCCGGAAAATTGTTTCAAGGAGGCGAATTTACAGTTTTACACTAAAACTCAATCACAGATTTCACAAATAATTAGCAAACCATGTTATGAATATTGTGTAATTAGGCATAGTTTGTCTTAGAAATGTATAAATATATACAAAAAGAAGATCAATTTATACTATATGTGTCCAAAGTTTGAGACAAAGTTTTTAAAAATTCTCTTAACTGAAATTCTCCCCTTATAAATTGTAGTATAAAAAACGTTCCAATATGATTTATTAGTTGAATAAATTGAGGAGAACAAGTCCTAAATCAACTAACCTTGTTAAATTCGATCTTTTTCTTCCAGTTTACTTCTCCGTAACTGAAAACTTTTTTTTTCTTTATTCCTCCAATATTTCTCTTGTCTACTATCAATTCTTTTCATTTACCAAACAAAAGCCTTCAATGAGAAAAACTACTGTTTTTTTCAATCCACTCATTAGTACTCCGTACGTTGTAGCTTTTTAGTAAGGGTCTCGACTTTTCGTATCCTAAAAACCTCCTCACCAAATACACAAATGTGGCTTTATACCTTTTGAAACACTAGAACCTACGACCAAAATCCTAACACCTAACATACACTAAGTGGCCCATTGAATCTACATACTCCCAACTCTTAACACAATTTGTAGGCCTCCCTCATTTCACCATCTAATCAATTTGTAGACTCAATGATTAACAATTTCATTTCATCTTAAAAGACATCTTGTATATACAGATTAACTATTTGATGACAATCTGATAGTGATATGATTTATCATTCCACTTATTTGAAAAGGTCAATTTTAAAATCTCTTTGGCTGATTTAAATCTTAACATGATAAATGGCTCATAAGCATTTCAGGTAGTGCTGGACTCGGGCCGGGCGGCCCGGCCCGGCCCGGAACCGGCCCGGCCCGGTTACTGTTTGGCCCGGCCCGGCCCGGGGCCCGGTGGGTCCACCGGTTCGGTTCGGCCCGGCCCGGCTGCTGGGCGGTTCGGGCTCGGGCCCAGGTTTTGGTGAACCGGCCCGGCCGGTTCGGGCCCGGTCCGGGCCGGATTTTAATTTTTTTTTTTTTTTGAAATTTTTTTAAGTTTTAGGTTGGATTAGGTATTTTGGGCCATTTGAGGTGGTTTGGGATGGTTTGGGGTTGAGGGGGAGGGGTAGGGGATTAAATAGGAGAACAAAAAAAAAAAAATTGGGCCGGTTCGGCCCAGCCCGGCCCGGTTTGGCCCGGAACCGGGACCGGAACCGGCCACCGGCGGTTCGGGCTCGGGCCTCCCTTTTCTGGCCCGAGGCCCGGCCGGGCCCAGGCCCGAACCGGCCCGAGTCCAGCCCTAATTTCAGGACCTTTACTTGAATATCATATATATTTGAATATACTTGTATTTAATATCCTCATAGATCTCATGTTGTTGTCAAGGTGGGCGGAAAATCGTTTTAAAAGACAAGACCACTCATGTAGTAGTTATGTGTTAAATGACAATTATTCCCAATGTTTTATTGTGGGGTAGCTCGAGGGCCCACCATACTATAATCAAACAATTAGTTAATTAAAAATAAAAAGGATCAATTGTGTCTTCGAACTATTTGTAATTCTAGATGGGGTGAGGGTGTACTTTTCTCATGAGAAATTAGTAATTACTTAATTTAACACTTGACAACTCTTATTTGCCTTTTTTATCTAAAATATATTGTTGCACTGTACTTCATAAATGATTAATTATAAAATATAGAGGACTCATGTGCATCGTACACTAAATATAGCATAATTTTCAATTACATAGTTGAATAGTACCAGGTACACGAATTCAGACCAAAATGACAACCATTATTTTTATTATTCCTTAACAATCATTAATTAATTACCATTAAACAATACATCCTTAATCATTGTCTTATCTTGGATAATCATCAGTACTGCAATATGTCTGCAGAAGGAGCCGCCATGATGGGCTGATTGGCCACCATGAAATTCCACGAACTGTTGTTCATCATAAAAAGCCCATCTCCGCCCAGAGATTCACTCTGGCCCAGCCCAACAACGCCGTTGCTGAAAGCGTAATTCGGCGGCGGCGGCTGTTCCTCGTCAAATCCGAAGCCGCCGCCGCCGCTTAAGGCGTGGGGAAGGTTCAAGAAGCCTGCGATGTCATTGAGCGACTCGAGCCGGTGGGTCAGCTCGGCTACCTGAGCTCGGAGGATGGAATTCTCTGCTTCGGCGTTCAGGTAATGTTGGGTGGAGATGTTCATGTAGGACAAGATCTGGCCGTTCTCTTTCCGCAGCTGAGCAACCTGAGCCATCAGATCATCCAGATGCTTCTGCTTCCTCATCCGAGATCTCCTCGCCGATTCTCTGTTCGAAATCATCCTCTTCCTCTTCCTCTCATCCATCACCAGCTGCAGATCTTCCTGATCAGACCCAGAGTTGTTCTGGACCCCACTCGATCCGGGCGATGACGTGGCACTGTATGTGGCCGCCATTAACGTACACCAAGAGCTTCCCAGGGGATGAAAAAATTAAACTTCTTTCCGAAAATTAATTGACTAGAACTTCAAAGATAAATAAAGGGTATTATTATTTTGGTCCTGTTTATTGATGCAGTAAATAAAAATATCTTCTTGGTATCAATATATAGGTATATGATCAAAGGGGGCAGAAAATCATGAAATGTAGTAAAACCAGTAGAGGAAGACGACTGAGAAAGACTGCACCAAATGGGTCCTCCGCCTGTATGTGGAATTTATCATACAACCGGAAAGGAACAGTTCACTAAGAATTGCAGACATGAAAAACAGAGATGAGGAACAGAAATTTGTTGATCATTAAGATTTTAGCAGTTAATTCTCCCCCAGAAATTAGATATGGTGTGATTAATCAACCAGGAAGAAGGGGAATCTTAAAGAAGAAGCAAAATGCTATAAAGAGAGAATACGCATATGACAATAATGGTGTGTGTAAAGAGAGAGCAGAAGAGGTAGAGGAAGGGCTTTGTGTTGGCGAGGGGTTTTATAGCATCAAAAGTGTTTGGCCAGGGGTAAAATTTGGTCAAGATCATCAAATAAACAAATACGCATTATATTGTTATTAAATTAATAAAACACAAACACACGGAGAAAAGACACCTTTAGTTTAACAACACCATCATTTTTACAATCAATGTTTGTGAGCGTGTACTCAGCCGTCTACTCTGATGAAAAGAAATAATACATCATTAGTTCCCCTGTTTCAAGATCACTAATTTTAAGTGTAATATATATCCATATATATTGCACATTTGCACGGTAAAATGGCAAACAAAAATGGCGTTTGTACCCACACTATTATACCCTTTTTATACCCCATCATCTTTGTGCTTTTGTCTGTGAATCTTGCTCATAGACAAAATATGTCTGTGTAAATTATTTTATCTGTGAATCAGATTCACAGAAAAAAAAAACCTTTATAAACATGATGAATATAAAAGTGCGTACAACAAGAATGATTGAAATACAAAAGGTACCTCATTTTTACCTCAACCTAATGGGAGGCCATAAATATGACAACACATTTAAGTGGGGCACCAGTTAATGAGTTGTTCTATTTATGGCCACCCATTAGGATGTAGTAAAAATGTGATACCCCATTTTGGATACTTTTACCATATCCCTTTGCACATGTATAAAGGGACAAAGTTTTTAAACTTTGACTTGCCAAAATACCCGTTTTATTTAGATATAAATTCTAATGTAGAATACACTATTTTGATATTATTTAATATTATTCTACAATGTGCTATCATTACTCCGTATTATTCAAGAGTAGTAGAGTAAATGACAATAATTTGTTTACTAGAAAAGGAAAGAGAACATTATTTAGGGATAACCATCAGAGAGGAATGTGAACTATTTGTTTAAAGGCGGAGGGAGTACAAAACCTCTGTTTTCATTTTTGTACAAAAATTATTTTAGATTTTGTTTTGAGGAATAAGAACATTATTAGTAATAATATTTAAAAGTAATCAAAACATATTTTCTAAATCAAACTGTACATTATTTTATTACATGACCCCTCATCTCGTTATTGTAATTTGCATAAGGCTTCCTAAACTTTGGGAAGAGTTTGAACATATTCCTATAGAGCATGTTGACATGATTTATGCTCATTAAGCTAATAAAGGACTGAATTTTTTATAATTCGAACAACTTCAGTTAAAGTAGTCTTGTTCGTTTGAAAAACTGAAGCCGGCTTGAAGCCTTGAACTGAAAATGAAATAAATGGATAGACTCAAATGTTGCAGGAAGTAACATTTATAATTAGTCGCTTACTCGCTTGTTTCAGACTTTCAAATGTAACAATATTGGAATTATAAAAAAAATCAGCACATTGCATACTACGGAGTAACTTATAATGGATGTCAATTTTCGATGAACTAGTGACTGTACATTTGTATTGTGTCCCATAACAATGCTTTGATATCTCTGCTTCGTCCACATGTATTTATGTTTGCTTCTGCTTTTGAGAATTGGTTCATTCTAGAAATTATATGAAAAATATTTAATTGAAAAAGTGTAAAATTTGAAAAGAAAAACAACTTTAAAGTAAAATTCAGTGTTTGCTGAAATTCATAGCAAAATTCATAGTGTTTGCTGATTAAATCCTTTCTCCCCCACTTTCAGTTTGGCTAAAGGTAATAGAATTAGAATAGGGATATTTATGTATTTTTACAATAAACTCTTTCCCTATAAATATATCTGTCATGACTCCTTAGAGAGTATCATGTTCCATTATTTCACATGGTATCAAGAGCTAGGGTTTGTCACATAGGCTCTCGAACTAATTTAAAAAATTCAAATCACTCCTTATATAAGAGGTTTTGTCCGGCCGCCGTCAATTGGGGCGGTTCCCGGTGGAATTTTTTGATAAATTTTTTTGAGCATCTTCTTCATTAAGTCTAGTTTACCTATACCGAATTTCAGCTAAAAATTCAACCGGGAAGATAGTCAAACGATTTTCTGAAATGTATTGCGTTGTTTAACTGCGCAGTTATCATCAAAAAATTATTTGACTGTCTTCCCGATTGATCTTTTTAGCTGAAATTTGGTATGAGTAAACTAGACTTAATGAAGAAAATGCTCAAAAAATTCCATCAAGAACTGTCCCAATTGAAGACGGTCGGGCAGATCCTCCTATATAAAGGATGTTTGAACTTTTAAAGTTAGTTTGAGGGTCTGTTGGCCCCTTTAGCCCTTTCAATTTTAAAGTACACAATTAAAAACACAGACACCTCTTTCAAAATTCTATTACTATTAATTAATGCTTTCAAAGCAAAAACAAAACTGAAAATCCTTTATCGCACACATTCCTCAAATGTGTTAAGAGTTTTTATATTCGGGTCTGTGAGAAGGATAGAAGTCAGATCATACCTTATGTTTAAGATGCTGTGGTTGTAAAATTATTCAAAAAATAAAAAACTTGGGAACTCAAAAGAAGAAATATATTCAGTGGGGGTGGGAAGCAAATTTATGAAGTGGAGTACCTAAAATAGAAATTTGGAATCTCCTAAATGTGACAAAAGGTGTGTGGGGTATTCAATGTGGGGCCAGTAGCATTCGTGACCGTCTAGATCTCTATGCCAACCATCATCATGCATTACTACAGATAACCCAACCATCCCCAAACAGTGATATACTGATATATGCTCCACTATTCTTCACTTGCAAACCCTCACATTTTTTTGTTAATTACAAACTGACCCAACCTCATTGACCTAGTTGCATAGGCATCTACTCTAGTACTTTTAAATGGGGTAATGGGTCCCACTAAAACTTTTGAAAAAGTGTCAGGTTTGAGAGATTCTCTCCAAATCCACTATTTCCTCATTACTGTGTGCTCCAAGGAATGTTGCTAAATGCTAACTAATGGAGAAAACATCAAGTTATTGTTTTACTTTAGATAATAATGAGTTTAGGCATGTGTTTTATTAGTACTAATATTATATTATACGGAGTAATCATATTATACAAGGGATGGAGCCAGGATTTTATTGGAGGGGACAAAATGTACTACGAAAATTTGAAAATAATAATCCCAACTATTGTCGGTCCGCTGAAAATAATCTCAACTATTGATTATTTTTGTATAATCCCAACTATATAGACTGTCCGCCAATAATGGTCCATAACCAGATATTACCTCTATAAAAAGTGAAGTTTAAATAGAAATTTAGCGTAAAAATTAAAAACTGAGATTATTTATAGGGATTACTTGTTATATCTCATCTCATCCACTTTAGAAATTACAAGAATTTATACATAGGGATCATTATTGGCGGAAGGTCCCTAAAGTTGGGATTATTCTGGAATAATCAATAGTTGGGATTATTATGAGCGGACCGGCAAAATATTATATTATACGGAGTAATCATATTATACAATGTACCGTATAAATAGAGGAACACATTGTATTAAAATTTGTTGTGTAGTTGAATATATTTTGTAAGATTTTACAAGACGGTTAAAAAACTCAAAATTTTAATGACAGGTTCACTTTTTAAAATCTTTCTTTTATAAGATGAATAATTCTATCTAATTAATTAAATTTAATTGAAATAAAGTTATGAATTTAAACGTATACTCCATGTATATTATTCATAAGTAATACGTTGTATATATTCCATCACTTTAATGTAATAGAATAGTATATTAAGTGGATGAAAACAAAAATTAGCATAAGAAATTAAAAATTCAAAGCACAAAAAAAGGGATTATGGGAACATTATTACTAAAATTATAGAAAAGAATGAAAAGTTGGGAGGGGCAATGGCACCCCTTACACTATGTATACCTCCGTCCCTGTAATTATACTCTTTGTATTCTTTATTACTTTGTGAACTTTTCTTTTTCGTTGTCATACTAATTTTGTCATTTTCCATTTTAAGTAAAGAATTAATGGTTCCAATAAATTTCATCTTCTTTTCACAAATCTCAATCACACAACTTTTACTTTATTAATATATGTGTCGGTCAAACCTGACAAAGTTTTAAGAGATAGAGGGAGTAATTGTAATGAGTAATATGTGATGATCACATGCTTATGTTCACGTGTAATGAGTAGAAATTTTGGAAAATACAATTAAGTAATCATTTTAATACCCCCATCCTTTACAATTTTGTCAACTTTTATTTTTTTGGGTGTCTCATCAACTTTGTCATTTTTCCTTTAAAGTAAATAATTGTTGGTTCCATTTAATTCTCTATCCTCTGCACAATCCTCAACTACACAACTTTTACTTTATTAATCTTTGTGCCAGTCAAACTTGGTCAAGTTTTAAGGGAATGAGGGAGTAGTTTGGAACACGAATATGGATGCATTCACAGTTTAAATATCAATATTCCCTCCGTCCCTGATTAAACTTCCAAAGTTCTTTTTTTGGTGTCTCAAAATAAACTTTCACTTTTATTTTATAATAAAAAAATTGTGGTTGACGACAATTAATACAAATTCTTATACATTTCTCTCTTCTCTGCACAACTCTCCACCAACAATACACAATATCTTAATCCTCGTGCCAAATGTATTTTGGAAGTTAATTTAGGAAAGGAAGGGTAATAAATACTCCACCTATCACATAAAATTTGGCTAAATTTTCTTTTTTAGCCGTTCAATTTTATTTTACCAAGCTGCATGTCCATTTAAAGCAGTGAGTATATGATGTGATGAAAATAGTTTCTCTTTCCTGTGCATAAATCTCAACCACACAATTTTTATTTTATTATCTTGTGTGCAAGTTAAACTTGTCAAAATTTTGTAGGAGGAACATATACTCAATATAGTTCTTAATTAAATTTCGATTTTATGAAATTTAATAAAGAAGATTTTTTGACTTTCCTATTATAATCTTAATAAATCCTTACAAATAATACTTAGAGTGCGTATACCGTGCAACCGGAGCATGGTGCTCACCATGCTCCCATGACTATATGAAATGTAACTCGTGTGA